TTCATGCTCCCCTCCACAATTGGGGGATCAGAGTACCAGGGCTACCTCCCCAAAAAACCAATGTTAGCCGACCGTGACGGGGTCGGCAATGAATCTACTTCTCACTCAAAGGGACATCTACACCAAACACATTTGACCTGTTGCTACACTAATGCCCAAGTTCTCCGTAGTAAGTTCTCCGAACTGGTGTTGCGTTTCCAATCCAGTCAGTGGGATATCATTGCTGCCACAGAAACTTGGTTGACGGATGACATTCTCGACTCTGAGTTGGGCCTACCGGGCATGTCTCTTCTCAGACGAGATCGTCCAACACGCGGGGGTGGTGTTCTACTTTACCATCGAAGCGATCGCCAGTGCGATGCAGTTGATCCTCCTGTTTCAGCCCCTGACACAATTTGGTGTCAACTGAAATTGTTGAAGCACGACGATTGTCTTGTTGGAGTGGTCTATCGTTCTCCCTCGTCTACGGAGACAGCAAACGATACACTTTTGTGAGCTATGTCACAAGTCCCATCCGCACAATTTATTCATATTCTAATAGTGGGTGATTTCAACTGCCCGCATCTCAATCAAACTTTGACCTCCCATCTATCGTTCCAAAGTCAGTTTAAACATTTAATCGACTCGCATCCGTTGTACAACCACGTGAAGGAGCCCACAAGGTTTGGGAACCTGGAGACATTGTCGACGCTGGATCTGGTACTTGCGAGGTACCAAAAAGTTCATCTCCAAGTTCATCTCCAACCCATCACTACTATACAAACATGTCAATATGTCCAGGAAAGTTAAGTACGGGATACTCGCACTCAGCTGTCTTGGGAAGGTCGCCAGAAACACTCAGGAAGCAGCTGAGATGCTGAAAAGCCAATACGCCCAAGTCTTTGACACACCAAATAACGCGAGACTGCGGCTGCCTCGTCGGATACTCTTTCTTCCAAATCCACCATTGACTACCCTCACGTTTATTACCGATAGAGTGAAATCAAAGCTTCCGATTCTACGTAAGTATTCGGCTCCAGGTGCAGACAACCTACATCCCCAACCGCTTATTGCATTAGCGGATTACATGTCTGAGCAGCTACCTTTTCTGTTCCAAAGGATGTTTGGCGCAACCGTGCTGCCTCAGGCGTGGAAACNAACAGGGCATAATTTCTCCAATTTACAAAGGCGGCCGTCACAGTGATCCTGACAACTACCGCCCGGTGACTTTCTTACCCGTTCTATCCAAAGTCATGGAATCCATCTTGGCGGATTTCTGGATGGAACACAGAGAAATACGACCTACTTTCCCCAGCACAGCATGGATTCCGTTAAAAGAGATCATGTACTACCCATATGCTCCTGGTCCGCGATGAATGGACAAAAGCAGTAGACAAAGGCGATCCGGTTGATGTGGTTTACCTGGACTTCTCCAAAGCGTTCGATCAGGTGAACCACGAAATACTGCTCCGTAAGCTGTACAATTTTTGTATCAGAGGTCTCGCGCTTGATTGGATTGCTGCGTTTCTCCAACAAAGGACTATGTCGATTCGAGTCTCTAATTCACTGTCCGCCCCTATCGCTGTTTCTCGCGGAGTCCCCCAGGGTTCTGTGCTTGGTCCACGAGTTTTTCTCTTGTTCACAAACGATCTACCGAATGTCTTAGGACCAAAAACATTATTGTTTGCAGACGACGTCAAAATCTGGAAAACAGTGACAGATATAGGGGGTTCGCTGGAACTCAATAAAAGCTTTGAATACAACTCACAAATGGTCTATTGAGAACGACATCCATTTTCCCCTTCTCCAAATGCAAGGTGATTTCACTGCGCCACCATGAGCGGTTTCCTTGTTTCCTCGGAAACGAACTACTGCCTCATGCATCAACAGAGAAGGACTTGGGTGTTATAGTCCACGAAGACCTTACCTGTTCTGGTAACTACACCAAGGCGTCATTAACCGCACTCAAACATGTCGGTCTACTTAGACGTGTTTTCGGTCGTTTTGAACCATCGTTATTCTCACGTCTGTTGTCAGTATACATCCGGCCGCATATTGAGTATGCCATCCAAACTTGGAACCCATGGTTACGACGTGATCATAAGATTTTGGAACATCCACAGAGGTTCTCCACGAAGATGATCAAAGGACTGTATCAGGATTCATACATGGGGAGAATGCAGTCGTTGGGTCTATAATCTGCTCAGTTTCATCGGATTCGAGGAGAGTTGATTTTGGTGTACCAAATACTATACAGCCCAAACCACCCTTGTCGGCGTTGTCGTCAAACGTTCATCTTTGGGGACATCCATTCAATCTCGACTGGATTGCCGACGTCATTCCTTTGCCTTCAGAGTCTGCACTGCGTGGAATTTCCTACCATCTCATGTTGTATGTGCCGAGACGATTGACTCTTTCAAGGTAAAACTTGACGAATCATTAACAAACATTGCATTCCAAAATCCACGAGAACACAAAACACAACCAGAAGCAGCATATGGAATTTTGTTCATCACATGTTTTATGGAATGTAATAGTCCATACCATTGGTTGAACGAGTATCCTCTAATCACGTAGCCGTTTGCACCGACGTATCATATGTGCTAACTCGGATGTCATGTACGCCCGATGTACCATTGGTCGAGCTTCTACCTAGTCGTGCATGGATTGCGGTCACGGAAGTCTGGATCACCACACAGACTTAATACACACCACAGTGTGAAGACTCACATGGTGGAATGACCCCCATAGTAACAAGTTAACTGCTTGATTATGAAATCGAATACTCTGGTGCTGTAACCTATACCTGCATCTAACGTTTTCCGTTCACGCATATAGCCTGATTGTATGATCTCTTGGTCAAAGGTGCTTTCTACCACACACGCACATTTCATAAACTTACTCTATGACAAGATCAATCCATTTCAGTGAACCAGATTTCAGCGTTGATCTGTTTGCGCTGTTTCATTCGTTGACTGTTTGACTTATTTGCATAATTACCTATTAACATCCTTGATCGCTCACCGACGTAAAGAGGGTGTACACCACTCGGGAATGTAAGTATGGAAGGTTCATGTGGAATCGATGTAGTAAGGAAACGCTGCCTATCAACACTAAAATCCTCTACGTCTGCACGCACCCAATCATTGATGGCTAGGGTTTCGAGCGTACGAGCTAAGCACGCCTGTTGTCCTATACTCATCAGAGT